TATTTTCCTCCCACCTCTGTTCTCATGCACAGTTTTATAGAAAATTCCACTTAAACTTGATTCTACTAATTCCTGTTCATTTTTTCCTTCCTTAATTCAAATATCCAACAAATACTTACAGTGTTCTTGCTCTGTGCCAGGTACTAGGGCTGCTTTGGTGAGCAAAACCAGACTTGGCCTCAGCTGTCAAGGAGCTTACTACTAAATGGGACAGACAGATATTAATTGTAAAGTTCCCTCAATGTGTGTATAACACAATGAAAGGGAAGGAAGAAGGTGCAACAACCCAGAGAGTCAAGGAAGACTTCCCTGAGAAGATAACGCCTAAACTAAGATCTGAAATATGAGTAGGATTAAAATAGCCGAAAGAATAGAGCAGAAAGGAGAACATTCAGGAAGCAGTATGTCAAAGGGGCAGAAGTGCATGTCACACACATTCAGACAACTGAAAGGACACTAGTTGGAGCACAGAGAATGAAGGAGGAATAGAGAAATAGTGTATGATGGCATAGAGAGTAGATAGAGGGCCAGACTGATCAGGGCCATTGTGAGGAATGGCAAGGCCACTTTGGACACTTTTATAATCATTTGGGCTTGAGATACTCTTTTACAAATACCTGTATTTTGTGACCTGTGTAGCAAAAAAAACACCAAAGCCAAATCCACTGTCACTGAGTTGATTCCGACTCATAGCAACCCTGTAGGACAGAGTAGAACTGCTCATAGTATTTCTAATCTTTACAGAAGCAGACTGCCTTGTCTTTCTTCCATGGAGTGGCTGGTAGGTTTGAACCATGGATCTTTTTGGTTAGCAGCTGAGGTCATTAACCACAGCTGAGGGCATTAAGATGTTTACATTAAATTAAACATCTTAATTTTTTGATACATACTGGACTGATTTTATTCTGGAAAACTAGAAAGAAAAATGCTTCACATTTCTTGAATCCCTTATGTTTTAAAACAAAACAAAAAATGAAATCAATTGCTGTCAAGTTGATTCTAGCTCACGGTGACCTCATGTGTTGCAGAATAGAACTGCACTCCATAGTGTCTTCAAGGCTGTCACCTTTCAGAAGCAGATTGCCAGGCTGTTCTGGTTCCCTAGTGCCACTCTGACAGGAATACACCACAAATGGGATGGCTTGAACAAACAGCAGTTTATTCTCTTACAGTTTGGAGGCTTTAAGTCCGAGTTCAAAGTGCCAGGCTCTAGGGGGTGGGTGAAAGCCCCTCAACCTTAGGGTCCAGCTTTGCCTCCTGCTCCCAGCCCACTGGAGCTAGAGGTGCTTCTTCACTCAGACAGCTGTTGGCTGCTGAGGCTGAGAAGCCCCAAGGTTGACAAGTAAAAAGGCACAGTCCCGATGTTACCAATCTGCACGGCAGGCCATTAACTTAAGTCCACTGTAAGTCCCAAGGTCGGCAGAGCATGCCGGCTGCTGAGCAACGACAAAGCTACATGCAGGGTCCAAGCATGCCATGGGCTAGAGACCATTCTCAAAGCTTCTCCTTATATACAGGAAGCAGACCACATACCCAAAGGCAGCTAGCTACTCAGCTGCTCCCAGTAGATTCCACCATGAAGTTGTTTACCAGTCTCATCATGGGGAATACTACATCCAGCTGCCCAGCCACTCAACCAGGCCCGGCCAAGTTGACCCATAAACTTAACCACCACACAGGCCTTTCTTCTGAGGCACCTCTGGGTGGGTTTGAATCTCTAATCTTCCGGTTAATGATTGAGCACTTAATTCACAATTATATTTTCCCTACTTTCCCATGTCTAAATAGCTAGGATTTTTATAGTTCTATAATTGGATTTATTGATATATAAACGAATAACTTTGTACCTTCAGATTTTACTTTGAAGGTACTTTCCTTCCAGCTTACAGGTAACATACAGTTCTGATGTATGTTGGCAAAGAACAAGTCTGTGATTATAAATACAATAGAAAAGTTGGAAGGGGTGTTAGAGGTCATTTTGTGTAACTTTCCTAACCTCCCTGTCTTCATTCTCCTATGCTGTCAGTTTTAGTTCTTCCCAAAGGCATCTGGAAGGATGGTCCCTTGATGAGCACTTACATCTTTGGTCTTTTCAGGAATCGTTGATGATCAGGGATATGGGTGAGGCTCTCACCCAGTGGGGACAACTGAATCCTCAGGGAGAAGTGCCTGAGAAGCATAGGAATCTGGTGTTGCTGGGTAAGTTGTCTCCCCCTTCCCCTGTGAATCTACCCAGTGTGGCACCTTTGTTTCCTCAGTTCCTAAGATCTCTGGGGTTCTTACGTGCAAAGATCCTTAATTCTCATAAAGTCTGAGACAGACAATTTCTGCTTTTTGTTTCTGGATATAATTTTAATATTCTGAATCACAAATGGACACCTTTATCTTACTGGCCTAAGCTGTAGCATCTTTCTTCTCTACTTCCTGACCAAGGATGTTGAGACAAATTCTAGCAAAAATGCTTCTTATGGAAATAGGTGTTTATTCTTTTAATGGGGATAGGTAAAAGCAAGCCACTTAATTGTTCTGAACTTAAATAAGTCCGTATGAATTTTCCTGTCTTCTTCCAGGAAAATAAACAGTACTGAGCACTGTTGGGAAAGAAATTCGGAACCAACATCTCTCTTTTTCTTTCTCATACTGTCTTCCTTAAAGACCTAGCAGCTAACTAACATTGAGCTCTTTATCAGGCTTCTTTTTCTTTGTTCACAAATAGGACTTCCAATTTCTAAGCCTGATGTAATCTCTCAGTTGGAACGAGGGAAAGAGCTGGAGAGAGAAGTCCCAAAAGCAACCAGTCCAGGTGAGTGAGTGTTGTAAACAGGAAGTGGTTAACATTGAAAATAAAACCCGGATGATCAATGGGAAAACAGTCTTTGAATGCTTGTGGAGGAGCCTTTTCAGAGTTTACCAGACCTATGGAAAAGTTGAAAATGAAGTCTGTCTCCCTTGGCCATACTACCGTTCCATGAATGTTATAAAGTCATAATTTGATTTTTTAGAAAATAAATACCTCTCATCCTTTCAGAGCAATTCTTTTTCCCAAGTAAGGTGAAATGAAACTAATACATTTTGATATTTGTTAATAACTTGCTTGGGTGCATGGCTCTAAACTTTTTTTTTTTTTTCACATATTATTTTATCTCACAGCTGAACAATGCTATTTTTGATTTTCAAGGCAAAGTTCTCCCTTGCCTTCCTCTCCAAGAAGAGGGAGATAGCATAGTGGTTAAGAGAGCAGACATTGGAACCAGTCTTTCTGAATTCAAAGCTAACCTCAGACTCTCACTAGCACTGTGATCTTCAACAAATGACTTAGGCTCTCTATGCCTCAAATTCTCCAACTGTAAAATGGGGATAATGATAATACTACCAGGGTTATTGTGAGGATCAAATGAAATAATAGAAAATAAATGCTTAGAACAGCTCCTGGCTATATGGTAAACCAACAATAACTATAATTAAATCCTGCTAACTTTTTTTTTGAAAAATATTATGTATTTGACCGTGGCACTTTTGTCAGACTGAGTTACTGCAGTGGATTACCAACTAATTGTGCTTTCTTTATTATTTTCCTTATATAATTGAGGTAGCATAATACTGCTAGATTGCACATGGTAAGTTTTTGTTGCTTACTCTCCTAGTTCTGTATTCTCTGCCTGCTTTCTTTTCAAAGCCTCAGTTAGCCTACCTGCCTAAGCTGTTTGTCCTCTCTGTTCTCCAACTTGAAACCTTAAGACCAGACAGACAAATTCTTTATATCCTCCACTAACCAAGTATTCTTCATGAACATTTGGGACTTTAATTCTTCCACTCCCCTTAGCTGGAAGTCCCTTTTCTTCTACACCAATTTCTATGTATTCATACTTTAAGATCCCAGACACTTCCTTGAGTATGCTAATGTAGTTGAGAACATTATGTTGTACTGATTTATTTCATGTAGGTTTATGGTTGGAATGGATATTAATGACCATCGAAGCCTAGAAATATTTAAAAATTTTTAGCAGTGAAGTTGTTTTCTCCAAACTCTTTCTAGGAAGACCAAGATCTTGGGGCAGGTATCCTGACATGGTGGGAATCAGTCTGAATGTAGGCTTTGACCTTCTATCCATATACACTATTAACTTTTTAAAAATTTGGTTATATTCCACTTTTTCTAGTTTACCAAGGTTGTAGTGATGGTAAGCAATCAGAAATGTTATGCTTCCCAATTACTAGGCTCTGTGATAATTTGAATTTGTAGATATGGACTACTTTGAATGATTGTGTCTGGAATTTGTGTCTTATCTTAAAGAGAGTGGAGTGAATACAGATTTTTGTATAACATGATGAAAGAAGTGGTTTGGAAAAGTTAGGCTCTTAGCAGGATTGGGGAATGTTGGATTGGGAAGAGGTTGTTGGGAAGGAGATCAGCTAAAGATGATAATTCTGAAGGCATGAAATGATGAGGCTTTCGTGATGTGATAACATGGGCAATTCCTGGGAAACTATTTCTCTGATCCCAGTCCTATCTCCCATGACCCTGTTTTTTAGCTACTATTTCCCCACATCACCTCTGCTTAGCCTTTTTCTCTATTCTTTCTAATTTCCTACACTTCTGCACAGAGGAATACTGATTACTTGCTCACCCTCTCCCTTTGTCCAACTGTAGTTATCTTTCTTTTCTTATCTTCTCTCAAGATTGCAGAGCTTTTTTTTTTTTTTTGAGAGTTTTCAGGTTCATGTGTTCCAGAAAGCATTTCTTTTTCTTTTATTATTTTCCTAGCTTTCTCTCAGTATAGGAAATAGTACATTTTTTTTTTTTTTTTCTTGCAGACTGGGAGACAAGGTCAGAAAGTAAGGAGCTGATGCTAGAGCATGAAATTTTTGAAGAGGAATCAGCCCCTGGTGTATTAACAGAAAGATTTCCAAAGGAAGGTTCCAGTGAATGTGAGAATTCTTTAGAGAGTCAGCAGGAAAACCATGAGAAATGTTTAATACAAGAAGTTGTTACTCAGAAGAAATCTGGTGAAATTTACCAGTATGATGAATTTGGAAGAAATTTTAGTAGGAGGTCATTTCTTATTCAACAACAAGGAGAAAGATTACATAATTGTGATTCACTTCAAAAGAACTTAAAACAGAATTCAGATCTAATTAGACATGAGAGAATTTATGCAGGAAAGAAACCTTGGAAGTGTAATGAGTGTGAGAAAGCCTTTAGTTACTACTCAGCTTTTGTTTTGCATCAGAGAATTCACACAGGAGAAAAACCCTATGAATGTAATGAATGTGGTAAATCCTTTAGCCAGAGCATACACCTTACTCTACACCAGAGAATTCATACTGGAGAGAAACCTTACAAATGTCATGAATGTGGGAAAGCCTTCAGTCACCGCTCAGCCCTTATTCGACATCATATAATTCATACTGGAGAGAAACCTTATGAATGCAATGATTGTGGGAAGGCCTTTAATCAGAGTTCATACCTCACTCAGCATCAGCGAATTCATACTGGAGAGAAACCTTATGAATGTAATGAATGTGGGAAGGCCTTCAGCCAAAGCACATTCCTTACTCAACATCAGGTCATTCACACTGGAGAGAAACCTTATAAATGTAATGAATGTGGTAAAGCCTTTAGTGATCGTTCAGGCCTTATTCAGCACCAGAGAACTCATACTGGAGAGAGGCCTTATGAGTGCAATGAATGTGGGAAAGCCTTTGGTTACTGTTCAGCCTTGACTCAGCACCAGAGAACTCACACTGGAGAGAAACCCTATAAATGTAATGATTGTGCCAAAGCTTTCAGTGACCGCTCAGCCCTTATCCGTCATCAAAGAACACACACTGGAGAGAAACCTTACAAATGTAAGGACTGTGAGAAAGCTTTTAGCCAGAGCTCATCTCTTACTAAGCATCAGAAAACTCACACTGGAGAAAAACCTTATAAGTGCAAGGAATGTGGAAAAGCCTTTAGCCAGAGTTCATCCCTTTCTCAACATCACAAAACTCATGCTGGAGGGAAAACCAAGGAACATGGGAAAGCTTTTAGTGAGCATTCAGCCTTTGGCCAACAAAAGAGAATTCATACTGGATAAAGAAGACTGTAAATGAAATGCATTCAGAACATATTTATCGAGCATTTATTATATATACTGTGAGGGCTACAAAGAAATTTAAGACTGTGTTACAAAAATATATATGAGACATAGCTTGCTTAGAATGCGAAGGAGAGGTTTTACATTTTAAAATATGTCCTAATGAAGGACATTGTGAATTTCCCTAGGTAAAAAAGAATTATTTCTAACACCCTAACATATATGTAGACTACAAAATCCTTGACAGAGAAATTCAGTATGCCACAGTAGAAAGAGGACATTTCAGCTGGGCCAGGTCATCTCACATTGCTCAGGGGATGAAGTTTTAGAGACAAGTGATCCTTTTAGAAAAATTGCAGGGGTAGAAATGAGAGATGGAAGTCACAGTAAATTTTCCCAGGGTCAGGAGTGGTGATAGAAGGGAAATTGTCTTTAGTCTTAAATACAAGGGCATAAAAAAAATAGAGCTAGAGGAAACCCAAGAAATATTGATTAAGATAAATAACTCAACTGAGTACAGATAACCAGGGAAAATATGACTTGTTAGTGGGCAGAATTCATCACAAAGTTTTCATGCAGGCAGCTTTACACTGAAGGAAAGGAATCTTGGCCTGGGGGTCTACTTCTTCACCCTTTGTCTTTTGACTTTTTTTGTTGGGCACATGGCCTCCTAAGAATCACTTTAAGGGTCAAGATTTGCAGCTAAGAAAGAGAGTGCAGAAAGGACCTTTGATGTTTTAAGTCACTTGAGAATGTGTTTATTTATAAAGATTTACCTCAGCTATATGTATTTTGTACCTTCCATTTTTTCATACCATAGTAAGATACCATAGTTATAGACTTGAAGTGACAATGCATTGAGTTGTGAAAAGCTTGAAAAGACATGGAGATACTAGCTTCTTATCATTTTACTCTTGGGTAAAGGCAGATGACAGTTTTTCCTTTGAAACTTTGAAAGGTATTATTGGAAACAATATTCGGAGTGCAATATTTTCAGTTTTCAGAAGTTTGTGATATGTCTTGGTGTGGATTTCTTTGGGTGTATCCTGTTTAGGGTTTGTTCATCTTGAATCTATAGTATCTTTTGCAAAATTTGGGAAGTTTTCAGCCATAATTTATTTGAATATTTTTTTAACCCTGTTCACCCCCTAATTTCACCTCTCCTACCAAGACTTCAATGACATGTTAGATCTTTTGTTACAATACCACATGTTCCCAAGGGTCTCTTTATGTTTTTTTCCAGCCATTTTTTTCTCCCTTCAGACTGTGTAACTTCTATTGTTCTGTCTTCAGGTTCACTGTTTCTTCCCTCTGTCCTCTCTATTCTGTTGTTGAGCCCAGCAGTGAGTTTTTATTTTGGTTGTGTTTTTCAGTTCCACTTGATTCATTATATCTTCTGTTTCCTTGCTGAGATTTTCTCTTTTTACATTTGTTTTGAGCTTGTTTGTTATTGCTCATTGAGGCGTTTTTTATGACAGCTGCTTAAAAACCCTTGTCAGGTAATTCTAACATTTGTGTCTTCATGTTACCATCTGTGGATTGTCTTTTCCTGGTTCTTGGTATGAGGAATTATTTTCAATTGAAACCTGAGCATTTTGGTTATTATGTGAGGCTCTGGATCTTATTTAAATCTTCTGTTTTAGCAGGGTGCTTCTGATACTGCTCCAGTGGGGAAAGGGAAACATACCACCTTATTACTGTCAGTTGGAGTTGGAAGCCCTGGTTTGCCATTTGGTCTTGATTGACACTCCACTGGGGTCCTTGATACTTCTGGGCAAGAGTGAGAGTTATGGTTCCTCATTAGGCCTCTGCAGATGCCACCTTGTCAGGGAGGGGCAAGGCTGTCTCATTACTGTTCTCCACATGGCCTGAACCACTTAGAGTTCATGAGGGTAACCTCATAATTGCTGGGCAGTACTGAAAGTTTTGATTCATTGGGCCTCCAGTGACATCAGTACAGAAGGGGAGGGATGCCCCATTATCTCTGGATGGGATTGGAAATCCAGTCTTCCCACATGTTCTCCATTAACACTATGCAGGTAGGAGGGGAAGTAGATTTTGTTACTGCCCAGTATATTTTCTCTGACAACCCCACTGGGGAAGTGAGGTGTTTGAGAAGCCTTATTACACCCTGGTGAGGGTGGAAATAGATTTCCTATTTGGACTTTGTTAGTGGAGATAAGACCACAATTTTCTCTCTTGTCTTTGGTTGGAATAGGTTATTGCCTAAAAGTTTTCTGTCTTGCTTCCCTACCCTTTCTTGATCTCATCTAGAGAGAGTAGACTTTTCTTGAGCCCTCCCCCCCATCTGTTCCTGTTGTCATCTCTGGGTTGTAGATTTCTTCATCATTTTTTTTTAATCTCAGATCTGTGAGGCAAAAAGAAAACCCAAGGAACTCCTTGCTAAGTTGTTCTTAGGTTCCAAGAACCCTAGCTGGTCTGCCTTCCCTCCACCTTTCAGATCCTTATGTTGTTTTAGATACAATGTCATTTTTTTCTTTTTTTAAGCTATACTGAGTATTAGAATGATGCATTGAGTTGTGTCAAATACAACCCAAAGGTTTGTGCACACATAGGTCATATCTAACCAGTTAGAACTAAGTACCTAGAGGAAAGTTCACTGTTCCCCAAAGATAAGCTGCTAAGTTGGTAGGTAAAAACACCAGTCTGTAAGCTTTGAAAGAACTATAGTTTATTATTGGACAAACATGAGTATTTAGTTGTAGAGTATAAATATAGGGAAAGGGAGAGGGAGATATGATTGAGAATGTAAACTGTAGCATTAAAACTTTTATTTATATATTTTTATTTATATCCTTGTTCCAAGAGTGTATGAGGACCACTGGAGAACTGAATTCAGGACTTTTTTTTCATTATGTACTATCTGTTGATATCTGTTCACTTTAATTTGATATATAATACATGATACAGACAGCCAACAAAATTAGAACAAAATTAATTGGATCTGGAACAAATCACTATCTTTTTACATCTCTTTAAATTTTATATATATGTAGTACCTACTTGAGGGTGGTTAGAAATAGGTAGATGATGGATGCAGAAGTAATTTGTAAGCTATCAAGTGCTATATATTAGGTATTGTTGATGTAGTCATTTATATGACCTGTCCATCATATATATATACTTTTTTATGGTATAGCCCAATAAAAATGACTGAATATAGTGGAATGTGCCTATTTATCTTTCTTAAAAGTTTCTTGGAAAGTAGTATAATCTGCATTTTTGTGATGATCATGTGATTTTTCTGTAATCTGTTAATATGGTAAATTACATTGATAGATTTTTCTAATGATAGAGAATCATTGCATTCCTGAAATTTACCCAATTTTGTGATTTTTTTTCCTGCCTCTGGAGGAAGAGACTGTGTTCCTTGAATGATAAAGAATCATTGCATTGCTGAAATTTACCCAATTTTGTGATTTTTTTTTTCCTGCCTCTGGAAGAAGAGACCGTGTTCCTTGAATGTCTAGATACATTCACCTGTCCACCTGTCAAATTGCTGTGTATGTAATGTGTGTTTTTACTAGTTTTAGGGGCTATAGGAGCTATTTAGACTTTGTATTTCTTCTTAAATTGCTTTTATTTGTTTTTCTAAAAATTTATCTATTTGGTCTTTAAGCTAGAAACATTTTTATTTTCCTTTAAATTCCCATTCTGTCTGTAGTATGTCCTCTTTTTCATTCCTGAGAGCTTATTTGTGTGCTTTTTTTTTTTCTTGATTGTGTTCCCAAGGTTTTTCAGTTTACTAGTCATGTAAAGGAAATGACTTTTTTTTTTTTAAATCAACTTTGTTGAAGTTTACATATAGTACAATCCACCCATTTAAAGTTTTCTATGAGTTTTGGCAAATAGAATACCTGTATAACCACCATTGCAATCGTGAGTGTGTGTATGTGTGTGGTTATAGTGTTCCTTCCATAGTTCTGTGAGTTTTAAGACCTGTATATACTTGTGTAACCATCACAATCAAGATACAGAACAGTAGTTTTGCATCAAAAAATTCCCTTGTGCTGCTCCTTTGTAGACTGACTTTCCCCCAAGTATAATGCCTTTGAGTCTCATCCATGTTGATGTTTCATTTGTTCCTTTTTAGTACTGAGTAGCTTTTCATGCCATGGATGAACCATAATTTTTTTTATCCATTCACCCACTGAAGGACATTTGGGTTTCAAATTTTTGGTGATTATGAATAAAATTGCTATAAACATTTGTGTACAGGTTTTTGCATGTATACAAATTTTTAGATCTCTAGAATAAATACCTAGGAGTGAAATAACTGTGTTGTATAGTAGATATATGTTTGCCTGTGAAAGAAATGGCCAAACCATTTCAGAGTGGTTGTACAATTTTTAGTTACCACCATCGGTGTATGAGAGATCCAGTTGTTTCACATGTTCACCAACACATAGTATTGTCAGTATTTTTTGTTTTATCCATTTTCTGGAAGAGAGAAATTTGTGCCCATTCTAAAGAAAGACAGTTAAACAGAATGATGAAATTATTGAAAAATATTAATACCACATGCTAACATAATTTTCCTGAAGATCACTTTAAAATGGCTGCCAAAAGTTCAAGCTGGATTCAGAAGAGAACATGGAACAAAAGATATTGCTGATGTTGAATGGATCTTAGCTGAAAGCAGAGAATACCAGAAAGACGTTTATCTGTATTATCAACTATATGAAGGCATTTGACTGTGTGGATTATAATAAATTATTGATAACGTTGCAAAGAATGTTGTTGTTGTTAGGTGCTGTTGAGTTGTTTCCAACTCATAGTGACCCTACATACAGCAGAACAAAACATTGCCCAGTCCTGTGCCAGCCCCATGATCCTTGCTATACCTGAGCTGATCACTGCAGCCACTGTGTCAAACCATCTTGTTGAAGGCCTTTCCCTTTTTGTTGACCCTCTACTTTACCAAGCATGATATCCTTCTCCAGGGAATGGTCCTTTCTTACAATGTGACCAAAGTAGGT